GCTATAATTAATCTTTAAGGTACACTGAAACATGGTGGTGGCAGCATGATGCTTTTATGCTTTTCACCTTAAGGATGCTAAATTTGCAACACCTTTCACTGCCCACCCTGAAGGAGAAGAGTCAGAATACATTTAGATAAAAATAATTTTTTTGTTGCTATTTTTAGTAAAGACTTTTAAACTGATAAATTCAGCTCAAAATATTTTAAGTGCAGTCTGTGTTTACCTTATGTTCTATTACACTGTCTGCTTATATATCATATATTTATTTTGGTTTGTTTTTCAGAGAAAAGAAATGCTTATTGATCTCCAGCTAGACTCTGAAATGATCTTTAGTGTCTGCTCCTCAGGCGATCTCTCAGGCAGCAAAGGTCCAAGTGTCTCTTCTTTATGACTGACCTTTATCACTGCTGTTATCATCGATTACACATTTCTTGCTCCTCTCTGGCCTCCCCTCCTTCACCCATCTGTTTTCATCTCTTTTGTCACACTTTATTAAACTACTGTATGAACAGCTCTTTCTGTTTCTGTCTTTTTCAGTGTTTGGCTTTTGAACAATGGACCTCCATGCTGCCTTAACCGCTTTTAACACAATAAAGATATTATTTCCACAATCTAGAAAACGTGAACATAAAACACATTGCTGTAATATAAAACAAAGCAGTTGTTAAATTGAAGAATAAAAATCTGTTCAACCCTTTGACTCTGCAGAATCTATTTTACACAATAAGTATTGGATACTAAGGTAATAGATATTGATAGTGATGTCAAGATTCTAATTCATGTGTCATATCAGGGTATGGATTGGGTTTCTCACATGAGCTATAATTGATAAATTGAATTCCAGTTCAGTGTCTATCAAAGAGAGGATTATGTATGGTTCTGACCAAAAGTGTGTGTGCTTCTTATTTATCCCATATGTCTCTGTGATGCTTGTATTTAATAAAGCTGTGGCTGTGTAAGGTACTGGAACACTTGAATGTAATCATATAGATGAGTGAGTCAATTATTCCTTATAATCTCTGTTCATTAAAATCAAAAGATTTTCAACAAACAAACATTCCAACAGTTGTAATAAAAATGCTTGCTAAAATAACTTTTTTCCCCTGTGCTTTAATGAGTGTAATTAGTATTTTTACCCTTATTTATTTGAAAGTTTATTTTGATACTGTAAAACTGACATTTTATGCTAAAAATTTGGAAATTGGGAGCAAAAAAGCATTTTCTCCTCCTTAATGAGCTGTTAAATTTATATGAATTATTGAAAGGCATCAAACGTCAAAAAATATGTGCCTTTTTTTTTTATTCTATGCCATACTGTAGAAAGAAAGCTGTTATAAAATAAATGGAAAATAATTCTGAGAGTTCTGACTTTGGATATTATGAGTGTGTCAAGCCCATGTCTCTTCGGCAGTCAGATGGCATTGATGCCATCTCAAATTAACAGAAGGTGCGGTTTGCAAAGGTTAAAAGACCGCCTAGCAAATCTGTTGATAAGCATTTATCCCTAAAATTGACATTTCACACACAAGAGAACTAAAGCATACAGAAATGCTTTCCAGAACATCTTTTTTGGATATGTTTATCTTTTCATGTTGATACCTGCAAAAAGTGGAAGTCAAAACACCCTGTTTCTAAAAGTGCACTTCTGAGTACATGAGGAATTGGCAAAAGCAAGCAGTCCAAACTCACCAGAAGCAAGTCAAAAATGTGTTTTTATAGGTTTAAATAAAATAGCAGGATTGAAAAAGCAGTGATGGAAGATGAAGTTCATCATTACTTTTAGTTACCATATTTCCCCTTTATTGCTCAATTTATTCTTGACATCAGACCCCATCACAGTTTGTTAAAACTCAAGGAGGAAAAGAAACAACATGAAGTCCAGCCGTAACAGAGAAAAAACAATATATTTGTATTGGTATAATATTGTCCTTCCTGGTAAACATATTTGTATTGGTATAATATTGTCCTTCCTGGTAAACAGCATAGAGTAATGAAAGTGAAGTGACAGGCGGCTCTTTGTTTTGTGTTGCCATAAATTACATTAACAATATTGCTGCTGGTATCTGAGGTGATGGTTGCCAATTGGACTGAAAAACTAAAAACCCCTTGAATAAAACTTTTACAAGAAACACAATGGACGGTAACTACTAGAAAATCCTTTGTTTGTTTTTTTCTTATGCTTGTGAAACAAAGCTGGGTTACATGAAAAGGTGAAAAAAATGGGTTTGATCGTTTTTTCCAAAGGTTTTCCAAGAGAAGTGTAAGAGTGCAGGGGGAGTATGAGTCATAAAATTTGCCAGAAGTTCGATTCTCGAGCTCAGACTCTCCGTGTCTCATTTGCAAGGCAATTATTAGCAGTTACTATCGTGTTTGTGCTATTGACAAGAAGGAACAAAGAAACTATCATGTGTAGTTAACAAAGCAGGGATTTATTTTGTTGCACATAGGGTGTAAAATAGTAATATGAAACATCTTTTTATTGTTTTGGTTGTTTTTTTTTTACTCTCCAGGAAAGTGACAAAAAAAAGATATCTCTAGACTTTAAAGTGTTTTAAAGTGCTAGCCCTAAATTAAACCATGTGAGCATTACCAGGGTTCAACTTAGAAACGAAAGGAGGTGACTGTAGAAAAGACATAAAATAAAAGAATCCATAGATTTGTTTTTGTTTTTTTGGCCATCTCTTGCACCCAGGAGAGAAATACAAATTATAAAATTAAATGCCATTTTCTTTATGAAATATTACAAAACTTACAATAGATTATAAATTATCTGTTGATCAAAATTACAGCATTTAATTAACTTTGCATGCACCTCGTTTTGTATCAAACGTGTGATAATCCTGTTTGTCTCACCTTTCTTAATTTCTTTGAACATAATCCCCAAAGAAGTACAAATTCTGCTTTATATCTTTTAATGACAAATGTTTCAGATGATTCAGTGACCTTTCAAAACTAAATATATTATAATTTCATGTGATAGACCAACTCAATGCAACACATCCTTAATTTCGAATGAAGATGAAACATTACTATGTCAGATATCTAAAGATCAGGGTTTTATTTTACACCCTAACACAGATTTAAACCAATACAACTTTATCCTTTTTGCTGTGTTTAATGATATTCTCTGATAAAACTCTGCAGTTGCATGTGGATCTAGCTGTGTTTCAATTACAAATATGTGCAAAACTCTTTCTATATTCTGCTAAATACCAAAATTCAAAGTTCTGCAATTGTTGTATTTTCATTAAATAGCAAATACATCAAAATTGCACGTGAATACGCTTGTTCACGCGATAACTGAAAACAACATGGCAGTGCGGAATGTAAACATATCAGATACATCCACATTTCTAGTGGCTGCCACCATCCTCCAACTATTTCCAGTCTTCTTCCTCTTTTTACAAGGCAGTAAGGTCCAGTTCAGCAGATCACGTGACTTGTGTGATGTGAAAAAAAGTGTTTTCATTGCAGCTTTGTGAATTATAACAATTTTGACAGGACTGGAAAAGCACCTCATCGAAACATAAAAGCTTTTTATTGAAAAATTATTTAAGATTTCAATTTAGCACATTTATTGTCTGAACTACAATTTGATGATTAACGGAAATTTAACCTAAAGTAAAAAAAACCTCATGAGGTCTATTTAAGTAACTTCTAAGGAAATTGGGTTGCAGTGAATTCAATCCAAGGGTATCAGAGTAAAAATGGACCTGGCCATTTCAGGCTTTTAACTTAAAAATGATATTCTGTATCATTTTCCTTTTGCAGTTTTGCACCACGTTGTACCAGTCCTCAAAGGCTGTTCTCCTGTATGCTTCATCAGAGGCCTTCATCCATGATTCTCTGGGCCAACTGTCCTGCATGCTTTAGGCTACGTTCACGCTGCAGGCTCAATTCCGATTTTTTTGCGTTGCCGTTCACATTTCCGTATATATGCAACTTGTATGTGATCTCCTGTGTAAACTGCATTCATACAGCTTATGTGTCACGCATGCGCACTAGAGGACGCAATGACGTTACAAGCCAGCATCTTTGTGTTTGAGGAATCAAACATGGATATAGTGCTGAAGCGTATCTAAAGTTCTTTCCAAACCTTAAAACCTCAATCTTTTCATAATAGTTTAAAAAAAATACTGCTCTCCGATTCCGAATCATTGTCCACCATGGTGTTTTGTTTTTCTTGCCGCTTATGTGTAGCAAGATGCAGAATAGTGACCTATGTCAGGTATTAACGGCGTTCAGGTCGGTTGAATTTGAAAAGATCAGATTCGTATTGGATTCAGGACACCTAGCTAAGTGGCCTGGGTGGCCTGGATTGCATTGGAAAAAATCGGATCTGTGTTGCTCAGACTGCCATGAAAAGATCAGATCCAGAGCACATATGGGCCAAAAAAAATCGGATTTGGGTCACTTCAGGCTGAGGTGTGAACATAGCCTTAGATGCATCTCTGCTCAGCACACCTGAGTCAAATGACTGCATTTCCACCTCAGCAACCTCTAAGGGCTGAAGGGACCTGTTAATCACCCATTTATCTAAGTCAGGTGTATGGAGGTAGGGGGAACACCTAAAACATGCTGGACCAGGAATGAAAACCCCTGCATTAGATGTATCTCTGCTCCAATACAGATAATTCAACAGATTCATTACCTCAGCATATACTCATATTCTACAAAAGCAAGCAAATTACCAGTTACTTTGATTTATTTGGGTTGAAACATTTGAAACACAGAAGACAGCGACCTTGCAGGACTGACTACTGCACAAAATCCCAGGAAGTTGAGATGCACTGATCTGTTTTATTTCCAGATACAGTGCCAGGGCAGAGATATATTCAAGATATATTCATCAGTATATTCAATATTGACATATCTTGCCATGTGAGTGAAGCCAATAGTCTTGACATGAAAATCCAGGTTTCAGACTGGTGTATCTCTACCAAAAATAATGCATTAAACTTTTCACGTGGCAAAATATTAAAAGAGAAGCCCTTCCAGTATGCTTTTGGATTTTATTTTTAATCAATACCTTTTCCAAAATGTTGGGTTATAAATTAAGGGATGTGGGCATGCTGGTATTTAGTGTTCAAAGAAAGATCAAATCAGAAGATCAGAGGTCAGCAGGTGGTGAGGGAGCACTTGGGTATACAGGTCAGGGTTTTATAAGTGATGGTCGTTCTGGATCTGCAGAGAAATGTTTCTTTCCAGTAAAGTAAATTTTCTGTCTGAGTCATTTCAAAACTTAAAGGTGGAGTTTCAGATTTCATTTATGCTCAGTATCTTCAGCAACTGGGGTGTTGTAACTCTGGAAAAGGGGCTGCATGAAAAGTCCTGCAGTGCCGACCACACACACACATACAAAAATCCACAGGAAGAGGCGGTCAATCACCATGGCCACATATTTCCAGTCTTCAATGATCTGCAAAAAATCAGAGAAGATGTTAAATGTCATTGCTTTATTCACAATCTTGAATTGACAATTAATTGTTCATCATCTTAAATTTTATGATTGCTCATTTTGGAAGAACTGATTTTTGACTGTGACTGTGTCAAATCTTAGTTGTAACTGGCACTATATTTATCTCAGTGGTGTTTTTATTTCAATAAGTTTTTCAAGTTTTTTGTTCAATTCAAAGTTTTCCAGTGTATGATATTTTTTAATAAAAACATGCTTGAGACTAAGAAACAACATATAATATAAAATACATTTGCTTTAATATCAGACCAATATCAAAACCCAACCAACTATTAATAATGACTCTATGAACTTCTAAAAATATACCTGACTAATCACTAAGTTGTTCTTAGAACCAGAAGCATGCTAGATCTTATTCAAATACAACAGTAACCATCTTGGACATCTTAGCAAGCATTCAGGTTTTTTCCTCAACAAAAGAGTTTGGATGATTTTTTTCCTACTTGATAAAACAAATAATGCCTTCCTCGAGGGAATAGCTGATCAAGCTGTCTTTTAGAGACCAGCAGGCATACAACAGATGGGAGGGGCGCCGTTGATTTGAAATGCATCTCACTGAAAGTGCAAGTGACCTAAAACGTCTCCCTTGGCTTATTTGCTTTTGCACCTGGAGTCAACCTTTGTCAGTTTTAAACTTGTTCAGAACAAAATTTCTTCTGGATTTATTAATAGGTTTTAGAACCACTTCTGCATGCAATCATCCTTTTCTTAATTGTTTAGTTTGGTATATGGATATTGGGATATTAAGTGAGAAAGAAATTAGATGTCAGTATAATGATCGTTCACAGTCACCTCAAAATTTGGTTCTTTAGAGGTAAGAAGAAGTTACTGGTGTTTAAAGGGTCTGGATTAGTGTTAATTTCGTTAACGAAA